TTAATAATTCAAGGCTGTGTTTCCTATTTCTCTTTATACTGCCTGATTTATTTTTTAAGACTGAGATGAGGCACAATAAAAAAAAAATAATCAAAACACTCTTCTTTGTATTTTCATCTACAGGTTCTAACATAAATCCTTGAATACAAAAAATAGTAAAAAATGCTCATGAGATTGAACACTGAACAGTTTAGAAAGAAAATGAATAATTAAAGGAATTATGATACCTATGATTCAATTTGGACATAATAATAACTCCTTTCCTCCCCTACCCTTTTCAAGATATTGTTGTTAGTTACTATCAAGTTGGTTCTGACTTATGGAGACCTTATGCAGAACAGAATGAAACATTGCTCAGACCTATGCCATCTTCATGATGATTCATCATGTTTCAACACTGTTGAGGCTATTGGATCAATATTCCTCACTGCGGATTTCCCTCATTTTTATTGGCCACCCAATTTACTGAACTGGATATCATTTTTGTAGCAACTGATCTTTCTTAATGACCTGTACAAAGTAAGTCAAAGTCTCTCCATCCTTGCTTCTAAGGAAAATTCTTGTTTTTCTTTTAAGAATGATTTGTTCATTCTATTGGCAAGATACACTTCCAGTTATTATCCATCCTATGACCTGTTTTAGCTTCCACGTAGCACTGATCATGTTGTTTTTGTGTTTATTTACTTATTTGCTTTTTCTCTGTCTCCTCCTCTTCATCCCACTTCTCGTAGGAATATTAGTTCTGTGAAGCTAGGGGAATTTGTTTGGTTGGGATCTTATCTGACCTATTCACGGTGTATAGAAGAGTGCCTCTTCAGGTCCTAGAAGAGTGCCTTGCACTCAAAAAACAATCCAATACATATTCATCAAATAAATAGATAAGTTTCTTCTACAGTCTTGTCTTCAAGAATAGATTTCCCACTAGCAGTGCCATCATATAATTTATTTCCCATATATCAATTCTGACAATGAAGGAGGACACCATTAATAATTAGGCCAGGATGACAGGTTTAAACTTTATAAACTATTATTGAATGAATAAAGAACTGATTGAATATATGCATGGTTAGAATTCTGGAGGATTTCTAGAATTGAGCAGATATCAGGATGACAGAGTATTAAAAAACAAACAAACAAACAAAAAACCCTCTAAACGTCAAGAAAAAAATTTCTCAGATCTTCTCTGACCAGACCCTAAAAATTAGTTACAGGTGATTTATGACAGGTGACATATTTATGTGCAAATAGATACTTGTCAGATGATTTCCAAGTACTTTATGCAACTTGATTTCTCCAAGTAGTTAACATTCTCTACCTAATCCCTCTGTGCCTTATTTCACGTAATGACTTCCTTTAGGAAATCTTTTTTGTTTGATTGATTGTTTGTCTGTGTTTATTAGTCTAAGGATTAGAGAAAGGTTCATCTCAACTCCAACTCCAATTACTTAGAATTCTCCCATAATGGCATTCAGACCTGGGAAAGTTTTTGTTTTCTAGCAGAGTAACACAGTCTGTTAAGACTACAGCAGTAGCAGAACCCTTTGAAAAACTGAGGTTATATTTTAATACTGAACATACTATTTGGAGTATTATTATTTACTGGTGGTGGGTTGGAATAACAAGGTAATCTGTTATATTTCAGTGACTTGGTACGGTGGCAGAATTAAGACAAACAGGCAAAAATCACAATAAGCAGATCTCTGTCTCTTTGCATTGAGCAGGTTCTTGAGTAATAAAAATACCCAAGAATCTACTTACTCAGGCAGAAAAAGGGGAAAATAGGGGCTGGTTTCCTTTGGAGCTTGCACACCAGCCTGTATAGTCTTGTTGTTGTTGTTATGTGCCGTTGAGTCGGCCCCGACTCATAGCGACCCCTCCTTGGGTTTCCGAGGCAGTATCACTACAGAAGTAGGATTGCCCAACCTTCCTTCCGAGGAGTGACTGGTGGGTTGGACCGCCAGCCTTCTGGTTAGCAGTCAAGTGCTTTAGCCAGTATAGTCTTAACTTTGAATTTTTCTCCTATAGTACAAACCACTTGGGCAATATCAAATGTTAACTGAAATTCTTCCATGTGCCAGTGCTTTATGAGCACTGGGAAGAATAGTTCATGAAGTAACCAAACAGGATATTTGATTTTTTAAAAAGATAGGCATTAAAATGATTGAAATACACATATGGTAAGTCATAGACACAGTAGTGGAGGGTGATGATGAGATATTCCATGTAAGGAAAAGTATCATGGTGGAAAAAAAGCACTCTGCCATCAAAGATGTGACTGGAATATGGTCTACTGAAGCAGAAGGAGTCATCAGGAGGGTAGAGGGTGATAGGGATAGAGAGAGGTAGGGACTGGTAAAACCCTGCAGGTCCTTGTGGACCATGCTCATAATACAGGAGTTCATCCTTCTTCCATTTTCTCATGTCACCACTTATGAATATGAGGGCCACATATCCCAGCAGAGGTCTTCAAGGACAAGACTGCAGTATTATGGCTGTAGGCTAACCAGGGTAGGCCACCTCTAGACAGAGGAAGAAAAGATTGTTCACCTCTCATTTGTGAGTCTTTGGTGAACTAATAAAGATGTGATATTGCCTATTTATTTGTTTCCTTACTGTGTTTTGTCCCTCAATTAGATTTTAGACTCCATGAGAATAGAGGGAATTTGTGTGTGTGTGTGTGTGTGTGTATGTACTATTAAATAACCAATGTAAAGAACTATAACTGTGACCTAAATATTCATTTAATGGATAAATAATTTTGTGAAAGTACTTGATCATATTTGCATTTAAAAATTATTAGTTAGGCTATGACTATAGTGTACATATTTTGAATAAGGTATAAGGATAAGATGAAAGTGTGAGATAAGGGTTATGTTGTTGTTGTTGTTGTTATGTGCCGTCGAGTCATACCTGACTCATAGCGACCTCTCCTTGGGTTTCCGAGGCAGTATCACTACGGAAGTAGGATTGCCCAACCTTCCTTCCGAGGAGTGGCTGGTGGGTTTGAACCGCCAGTCGTCTGGTTAGCAGGCAAGTGTCTTAGCCACTATGCTACCAGAGCTCTTTAATGGATTCCAGGAAGGCTCCAATAACACTCTTTAATACATGTGTGTAGGAGATGGAGGTGGAAATGAATACATACTAAATATCACTATGTGTCCATCTCTATGCTACGTGCTTTCACATGCTTCATCTCATTTAATTCTCCAATGAACTCAAGCCTCTATAATGAGTGTTAATTTAATTTTACACATGAAGAAGCTAAGACTCAAAAAGATTAACTTCCCCAAACAGCTGCAATTTAAACATAGATTTATTCAACATCTTTTTCCTAAGACTTACCATTTAGTTTCCTAGGATTCTTTGTAGGCTCTGAATTGGGGAGGAAATGGCATATTTCTATTTCTGGATATTGTGATTTTCACATTTTCATTGGATGTGATGCTTTTTGCAGCAGTAGTTGTCAATTTCCCTTAGTCACATTCACCTAATACATACATATCCTGGTTACTGTTTTCAGGTCAGCCTTCTTTAGTATCTTATGGATGAGTTCACAAATGAGTTCCTCTTCCATACTTAGCCCTGGCTCAGTTCCTTAGACAATCCTGACTAAGGCAGAAAATTATCAATGACCCTGCACATCCTTTTGCAAAAAGTTTAGAAATAAGGATACTCACAACACTTCTAGAAAACTAATTCTAAATATCTTTGGTTGGCAGGTTCATGCTTCCTCCAACTTGCAGTTCTTCATCCCATCTCTTTTCCCACCCAGTGCCTGACCAGATGCCAAGATTTCTTCATAAGTCCCTACTCCAAACTTTTGCATTTGCCTTATAGTGAATCAGACTCATAGTTGAGGACTAGAGTTCTACTTTGAACTACAGTTTGTGCTTTCCTGCTATGATCTTAATGGTCCCTCTCTCATGAATCCATGACTTAGTCCCTACTTTCACCTTATTGTTGGAGTGTAACATATGTTTCTATTTGTCTAGCTTTTGATTATCATTTCTGAATTTCTTGCCATCAAGCATCCCTTACTCACTGAGATCCTACCTAGTACCTTGTGGCAATGATTGCTACCTATTTGCCAAAGATTCATACTGCATTTCCTCAATAGAATCATCATGGTTGAGAAGTGGATGGCAATCCAGAAACTATATTTCCTGCACTGTCACCCTGCAACTAGATGGGGATATGTGACTAGATTTTGTCTTTTGGAATACAGATGAAAGAGAAATACACAACTTCTAACCTGGTCCATAAAAACCTCCACAGAGGCAGCTGAATGTCAACATCCAGACACTCGGTTAATGTTAAAGTAGTACAGTCTCTAAAAATTGTGTCCTTGATTGACTTTTGCAGCAGAAATTGTCCCTCCCAATCAACAAGACTTTATGCAGGTGAAAAACTAGTCTCTAGTCTCTTATCTAAAGCCATAGTGTTCTGGGGTTTAACTGATACAGTAGCCTTTTTGTCTTCTTCTTCCAAAAAACACTGAATCTAACATTTTTTGAAAAGATTGAGCTTTTAACTTTTGAATAAACACAGTCTCACAGATCCAATGTTTTCTCTGTAGACTGCCACTATCATCAGGTCAGTTTCTCAACTTCTGCCTAGCCCTAAGCCCTAAAGGACAATTATGAGCCATATTCTTTCTCTCTTCACCTTCTGGATGGCCTTCATGTTACTTTCAGCTGACCAGTATGCCTTATTCCCATTTATCAGGCTATGTTATTCTGAAAAGGAGCTCTGGTGGTGTAGTGGATAAGGCATTTGGCTGCTAACTGGAACATCAGTGGTTCAAAGCTACCAGCTGCCCCATGGAAGGAAGAAGGGAAAATCTATTTCCATAAAGGTTTACAGCCTTGGAAACCCAATGGGGGTTACTGGGACTCTGAATTGATGCTACAGCAATGTTTTTGGTTTTTTGCTTTTTGTTATACTGAAAGATATTCAAGATTAAGTCTTTTAGAGTAAGCAAATACAGGAAATTCAAATACCTCCACGGCCACAACTTTGTGAACACTGTGTCCAAGCTGTCCACCCTGAGAGCTGACAGTTGACCACACATTCCACCAGGCAGTTAATGCTCATTCTCTGGGGTTTTTCCAAGTTACGCTGCAAAGAGAAATCAAATGTGATTTCACTAGAGAGGAGATTCCTGTTGATACTGTTCAAATGACATGTTATTAAATAAAGGATCAGTCAGCTAGGAGGACCTAATAAAAAATAGAATAAGGCATTCATCTACATTTAAAAGGTTTTAGCAAGTGACCTTAAAATTGGTAGCCTGTATTCTCCATGTTCCTTTCAAAAGGAGAGGAAAACAAGTGATGGAATGAGAGGATGGCATGGAAGGGATTCTCCAGCTTCAGTGTGCATGTGATCGCATGAGGGGACTTCTTTAAATAAAGATTCCCACTGCAAAGATGTGGGAATTTCAAGAGGTTTTAACTGCTTGGAGTATGGCCAAGAATAACATTTTTAAAAGAAGTATGGCATGAGAGTCTATAGTCCACACTTTGAGAGACACCGGAAGAGAAGAATAGAAATTCGTGATAAAGTAGGCAAAACAAATCAAAACAAATAAAATAGCTGGCTTCTTAGCAATACATAAACATGTACAGCATGTAGTATGGCATTCAAATGGAAGACAGATAAATGATAATTGCAGCAGAATATCACCTTCTGAATGTGTCCCAAACAAATCTGCTCAGCAATTGACAAACAAGCACCAAACAAGGCAATGTAACCTACTCTTTTCACTATTTCCTCAACAACATTGATTAAAATTGCCGATGATTCTTTTTTGGAGAGAAAGACTGTCCTTAATTCTGAGATAATAACCTTTCTAAATTTTGGCAAAAAAAAAGAAAAAAAAAAACACAAGAAACTTTCTCATATGGATTTATAAGAAGCCCTGGTGGCATAGTGGTTAAGTGCTCAGCTTCTAACCAAAAGGTTAGTGGTTTAAATCCACCAGATGCTCTATGGGAGAAAGATGTGGCAGCCTGCTTCTGTAGGGTTGCTATGAGTTGGAAGCAATTTTACAGCAATGGGTTTGTATTTTGGCGTTTGGTATATGAAAATTGATGGTCACCATAGGTACATTTTGTCCTTTGCTGAATACAAATTTGTCATATTTTTTTGATTAAATCCTAAACTCTAGATTAGACCTGTCACTCAGTTTCTTGGATCCTGAGAAAACAGGAGGCTATGTGACACAGAAATCTGTCCTGTTGCCAGCACGGAACCAGGAGGATGCCACAGTTCTAATTTCAGGCACTACTGGCAGGTTGACAGTACATAGAGAACTCTAAGCTAAAAGCTAGCTAGGTTAGAAAAACAAATAAAATAGGAATAAAAATAAAATCACAAGCCATCTCAAGTTTATAACAAAGATCAGTTAGGCTTAAAACAGAATCACAGTCTTAATCATAGTAGAAATTTGTCCCACAGTTCAATGTTTTCTCTGAAACAACCATTAAAGCAAAATGTACAAAGTTACTAATAGCTTAGAAAAGTTATATCAAAACAAAAACAAAAGAAAACTTCACTGCCATAGAGTCGGATCCGACCCATAGCGACCCTTCTTTGGGTTTCCAAGGCGGTATCACTATGGAAGTAAATTTCCCGATTTTCCTTCCAAGGAGTGGCTGGTGGGTTTGAATTGCCAGCCTTCTGGTTAGCAGTCAAGTGCCTTAGGCACTATGGCTAAGTTATAGAAAATTATAGGTGAAAGAATAAATCATCTGAGAAATCAGTCATAACCAACACAGGAAGAATGATGAAAAAAATCTGCTCTAGGAATTTATGAAAAGCTTAACATTCAACACATGTTAAATGTTAGCAATGTATACACTATGTTGAAATTAAAGATTGAAGAACGATTACTTGCCAAGTGGGCAACTTCTTGAGAGGCAGAGTCAGCGACATAAGATGCTAAAGTAATTTGGTGATACCTTGTAAACCATACCTGACCCTGCATTCTTTGATTTCAGAATTCTATGGGACATCTAATTTCATATTATCTGGTCACAGTCTTGGTGTCCTGGTTTATGAGTGCACCATCAGTTTAGAGGGCATGTTGTGAAAATACTTAACAAGAGTAAATAAGAATGGATGTTTAATAAATCTTATAGTGTGGCAACATGTGGTCATCTTTATTACTATTAAGCCTACTCCATGTGTGATTTTCATTTATACGTTAGGAAGAAAATGCCTACCTCTTTGAAACAGTTCTGAATAAAGTTTTTTTTTCCAAACTCCACACAATTAGTCACAGAAGAAAAAGAGTCAATAAACTTAAAAACTTCAGAACCCACTAATTTGAAACTTGATGGTCATGGCTTTAACTTAGCTTGAGAAAGAAAAGAAAACTGTGCTATTTATTTAACCATCATTTGCTGTGCAAATTAGCAGAGTATTCTAATAGCAAGTGGCAGTCTTTATCATATTAAAAGGGATCCAGCTCAAAAACCAAACTCACTGCCATCATGTTCATTATATATGCAAGTGAATCACTCACCTAATACCAAGAGTTATATCTAAATGTTAAAATTGCCCAGTCTTAAGAGTCAAATATAAGCAACTGAAACTCAATAATTCAAATTAAGTTCAAACTCAATGTATTATAGTAGTACTTCTTATTCTAATTGACCCTGAGCTGAAATAGGAAGAAATCACAGTCTTTGCTATCAATCTCAAATAACATGCAGGCTGAAAAACAATTTTAAGAGAAACAAAGCATTGGATCTTAGATACAAATATGAACAAATTACCTGCTCACACTGGTCCATAGCGACTGGCTTGCCATCACTGCGCACACAACTCAGAAGGCGGGTCCTGACGCCTTGTCCACACGTGGCATTTTCACTCAGCTGGCATATGCTCCACTCTACAGGCATATGATCATCCAAACTGAGCGTCAAAACCATGGCCATATGAGCAAAATACAACAAACTCTTGATTATCTGCATTGGTGGGGAAGGACAGTGTGTGCATAATCCTAAAACTGCTTCCAGGTGGATTTGAAAAAGCAGCATGCCATTGTTTTGTTGCAATAATAATAATGATAATAATAACAAAAATAAGCAAGTAAAAGTGAGTTGCTGGAAAAAAAATGAGTAAGCAAACAAAAAAGAATAAATTCATTGGCAGAAACCATCTCAGAGTTGGCTGGGTAGGAAAAGAAAGACACTAAACAGTATGTCAAAGAAAAAAGTTTGAAATCAACTGTTTGCTGGGGGAATAATCAAGATAGATAAAACCTCCCAGAAACAATGGCAGTCTTTGATGTAAACTTGAAAATGTTTTCCAAGAATAAATCCAATCATCAAAGTTATTTGAAATATTTGGTACAGTGAAGCCCAGAGAAGTATTCAGAAGGTAAAGAGTGAAAAACATATAGAACTGTATTAATTATTACAGAAACTCTTATTTTTCTAACTAGATCTATCATGAAGGAAAGCTTTGGCTAGTTTTGTTAGAAACTAGACAAATAACTGATGGTTAGAATAAATTATACTGCAATTTAGCTTAATTCTTTAAAAAAAAATAACTCTTATTGTTACTGTAGGTAGAAAGGAAGGTCATTGATCACATTGAATGAAAACATCTTTAAGGAGGTCTCCCACATTTAGTAGGTGACCTACAAGTTTAATAGAACAGTAAACCCATCTTTAGTAAGATCTGTCTATTATTGATATACTCTTTCAGTATAGCAAATTTCAATGCATTTCTGGGAAATTACTATTAAAACCAAAGATCTGAAATCTCTTTATCTAATGAAATAGGAAAAATAGACCTGGTTATAGAACAGCCCCATAGAATTCACTCTGAGGCGTTCTACATGAAAAATCTCAGCAGTGCCTATGTGGCTGTAGGGAGATTTTTTCTTTTTTTCCAGGAAATGCTATTGCTTTGTCTCTGCAAGAAAGTAGAAGTATGTTCTTCAGTTTTGAATTCAGTGCTGAGACTTAACACAAAATTACATTTTGTGGCATTTGTGTATATCTGATGCTGCAGCTATTGGCAGGTAGTGGATCAATGTAACTAAAATCTTTTTGTATTAGACATTGACCACTGTGGTGCCAAGAATAAAATGTTACTGTCCAATCAAGCTCAGCATTCATCCTTAATGAAATTGATAGAGCAAGTACATGATAAGGGAGACTTTCTTAAAATTGAAAAATATAAAAGCTTAGAAAAGAGCTAAAGGAGCTTTGGTAGCATAGTGCCTAAGGCATTTGACTGCTAACCAGAAGGCTGGCAGTTCAAACCCACCAGTCACTCCTCAGAAGGAAGGTTGGGCAATCTACTTCCGTAGTGATACTTCCTCGGAAACCAAGGAGGGGGTCTATGAGTCAGGTCTATCTCAATGGCACATAACAACAGAAAGAGCTAAACTGTATAATATTATTACTACATATTTCTAAATGGTGAATTATTTTTGCTACTTAGTTCTTTTGTTTTAGTTTGTCATAGATTAATTCAACCTTATTCTGAAACTTTGCCACATCTTTCTAAGTTTGTTTTACTTCAGAACATCCATGCTGTCAAGAGGGGCATGCCAAGTGTGGTAGTTATATTTGTGTGTCAATTTGGCTGGGCCTGGTTGAGTGGCTGGGCAGCTGGATGTAGTATTACCCATGATGAGACTGGTAATCAACTCCATGGTGGAATCTCCTGTGAAGAGCTGAGTAGCTGCTTTAGGGATGTGGTCTGCTTCCTGTGTATAAGGAGAAGTCTTGGGAATGGTCTCTAGCTTATGGTACACTTGGACCCTGCATGTAGCTGTGCCATTGTTTAGCAGTCTGCCATGCTCTGCTGACCTTGGGACTTACAGTGGACTTCAATTAATGGCCTTCCATGTGGTTTGGTAACACCGGGACTGTGCCATTTTATTTGTCAACCTTGGGCTTGTTAGCCTCAGCAGTCAGTAGCTGCCTGAGTGAAGAGATGCCTCTAGCTTCAGTGGGCCAGGAGCAAGAGGCAGAGCTGAAGCCCAGGGTCGAGGGGCTTTTTCACCCAGTCCCTAGAGCCTGGCACTGTGAACTCAGACTTCTAGCCTCCCACATTGTAAGAATAAACTCCTGCTTGTTAAGGTCATCCCATTTGTGGTATTTACTTGTCAGAGTGCCACTAAGTAACCAGAACACCAAGAGTGGGCATGTCCATCATGGAAGGGACTCAGGGAAAGTCAAGTCCTTGGCCTTTCAAGAAACATTCCTACACATTCTATCTTAGTTCCTAATTTGGAGATTAAGAACACACACACACATACACACACTCCCATAGAACATGCTAAGGAAAATGACAGGTCATGGAGGTTCACTCTACCTGTTAGATTGTACTGGAACTGAAAGCAATTTTCATTAAGGAGGCAGGGCTGCACTTGTGAGTCTTCAGGACAAGTCCTTGAGCTCAGTGAGGGTCTCAGCAGATGGCGAGTTCTTATTTTCATTGTGTGAGGGTCACATGACTATAAACACCAAAGAGCAGGCAGAGTTTGTACACACATGGCTAATTGACAAATTACATATGATTAACTGAATACCTGCAGGTATATGTATAATAATATGTATAATAATAGGTAAGGGACTATTGAAAGGGTTAAACATAATAATTAGAGAATAAGTTATTCTATGAATCACTGTAAACCAAATACATAGTTAGTTTTTTTTTTTTTTTTTTCTCCATTTGTGACTTGTTCTTGCGCTGTGTTATGGTGAAGCTTACATCTCTCCTTTCCATGTATAATTAGGTTCATGAACACTATTTTCACCAATTAAAACACACTCTGTAATCTCAAATTCTGTGCCTCATTTCAATAATCAACTGTCATCAAGTTGATTCTGACTCATAGTAACTGTATAGGACAGAGTAGAACTGACCCAAGGCTGTAAATCTTTATGGAAGTAGATTGCCTCATCATTCTCCCTCAGAGTAGCTGGTGAGTCTGCTGACATTTTGGTTTGCAATTGAATGGTTTAACCACTGTGCCACCCAAACTTCTTCCCATATTGTAATAGATAAAGATATATTTAATGTTTAAATGAATAATAAAAAAAGAGGCAGCCTTTGTGCCTCCAGCTACTCAAAACAACCAAACTCACTGCCATTGAGTTAATTGTAACCCCAGTGGGTTTCCGAGGCTGTAAATATTCACAGAAGCAGACCACTTTAACTTTCATCTGTGGAACAGCTGGTGGCTCAATAGAAATAGCCACACAGAACACTATGATGAGAAAGTTATTTAAAAAAATCTCCAAACAGATTGCATAGAGAGGGAATTATAAAACCAAGATTGTCAATATACCAGAACTTGCTTGTTATCTGAGAGGCCCTCTGAACCTCAGGGGTGAGCCATTCTATCCGTTGCCTGTTTTGCAAAATAAGTGTATCAATCTCAACACCAGAGATCTCCAAATATCACTTTACCCATGAGTCCACATGTCCTATTATAGCCTCAGCTCCTTTAATGCTCTGATCCAGGTAAACCTGCCAGTAATATTTCAACAAACAGCTCAACTCCCAGTGGACCACCATCTCTTTTCTGGAGCACTCTTCTTATAATGTTCTACAAATTCTCCCCTTCCTTTGCTTCAGGATGCTAATGGAGGCTTACACCTTCCATAGCTCTCATTTTAATAGTACTATCCTCTCTTTCTTTTTGGCCAACCTTCTTCTCATACTCAGGAACTTCTTTCAAAGCATGTGCTTCCGGACATATGTAAATACACAAGTGTGTACATTTGTCACATTTGTCATTATGTTGTTATCCTTTGTTCCTTTTTTATTCTTCTATCTTCCTTTATAAACTCATTGAGGAAATGATGAACAATGGCATCTACTACTCATGTCACTCCTTGAAAATTTTGATATACTCAGAAGTTATTTAATAAACACCATAGAATAGTTACCACACAATTCTAGACTCAAAATCTAGAGAGGCAAAACAGCACCTAATTCATAGTGGGGGATGGAAGTCTGTGAATTATGATGCCCACCTTACCACTTCTATATTTCAGATGTTTCATTAGTTTTTTGAATCCTCTGTCATTGTCAGAAATTGCAGCAAGACACAACCTGTAAACTGAATCTTGGCGATTGATGATCAAAAGTATACTGTGGGATTGCACTGAAATATTCAGAAAAAAAAGGCCACTTTTCCCCCCATTATTTGAAAAGTTTGTTTGGAGCTGCTTGAAAAATATTTACTACCCATGTGACTTTATAGTTGCATAATATGGCAATACTTGTAAAGTAATTTTACATTTTAATTGTATCAAATTGTTTCTAGATGATCGAGAAGGGCCACTGAAACCAGGCAATTATTCTTAATTATCTACAAATGAATCTCATGTCAATTGCTTATTACAATTTTAACAATTAATTTGATTGTTTGTTCTCATGAGGAGGAATAAGAACTTAAATGATTTGCCAATAAAAGAAAACAAAGGTATCTTGGTAGATGTTCCTGATTAGTGCTCTATTGCATTTCTACCTTATAAAAAATCAATTAATGTTGGGCCAAATGGATATGTGTAAGAACTTATGTGTTTCTTAGTGTAGTTCATCAAATAATGTAAGAAAGAAACCCCCTCCCTCCACACATATGCACACATAAACAGGTGAAATTAATAGGTAACCTTGAAATCCACTTATTCTGTACCTTAGTTCCTAACTAAACCTAGGTGGATGAATTTGATGAGATTAAAGATTTACCTACATCAGATGTCATAATCTTCTTATTTCTAGGAGTCCCTGGGTGGTACAGATGCTTAGCACACTGACCACTAACTGAAAGGTTGGAGGTTGGATTCTACCCAGAGGTAGCCATTTTTCATCATTTCCAGAAGAAAGAGCAGGTTATCTACTTCCGAAAAACTGGCCACTGAAAACCATGCTGAGCACAGTTCTACTCTGACACACATCAGGTTCTCCAGGAATGAGAATCAACTTTAAGGCAACTGATCATTGCTATTATTTGTCTCTAAACTCGATGGCACATAACAACAAAACAACACAAATTTGCTGGAAATGTTTTTTAAATATCGGCTTGAACTCATCCCATTGCTCATACCATGTTTATCAAATGACAAAGTCATACCAATGACTTTGACAATCATTGACAGTAACACACATATAGAAAACCAATACTTCAACAACTCTGTTGTAACCTTTTGTCCGTAGACATTGGAAAAGTGGGTAGTATAAATGACTGATAGCCACACACAGTAGCCAAGCCAGTCTGAGGCAATATTTTCCTGTTCTAACTTATAAAAACTACTAACAAGTGATACATTGGTAATGTTGTTGTTGTTGTTGTTATGTGCCGTCGAGTCGGCCCCGACTCATAGCGACCCCCCCTCCTTGGGTTTCCGAGGCAGTATCACTACGGAAGTAGGATTGCCCAACCTTCCTTCCGAGGAGTGGCTGGTGGGTTTGAACCGCCAGCCGTCTGGTTAGCAAGCAAGTGTCTTAGCCACTATGCTACCAGAGCTATTTCTTTCTCTCTATCAGCTATTTAAAGGAAGTCCAGAAAATGATGAATTAGCCACAAGGGGGATGATGAGAGTTGGGCTAAGTAAAAAGAAAAGACAAAGGAGGTTTTATGTGGATACTCTCTTTACTGGATCAAGACTCCTCAAATACAAACCTGGATCTCCTCTTCCCTAGGTGTTTATGCCAAGACATACTGTCAATTTCCTAAATAAGGAAGTGAGAAAGTGATGTGTGGACAACTAAACCAAGGTCAAATGTGGACCAGTTTCATTATAAAGATCAAGGTTATATAGTTAAAATTTATTTGCTAGGGAAGGAAATGGCCAATAAGAACTAGTTAGTCTCTAGCACATAAATTCTTTTATGTACTAGTTTTTCTAATTTATTACCTTTGAAAACCAGCACTTACCCTTATGTTCAATCCTTCTTCATGACCTTGTACCTCGTATTCCTTCTGGAAGCAAGGCCTTAACCCTTTTCCCTGATCTGAGAATTTGTATTCATCCCTCAAAATGAAATAAGATGTCCCTTCACAGAGCCTCCTTTGGCTTCCTCAGTCCCATAATAAATGGAATTGCTCTCATCTAGTAAATATTTTCATTGTACTTGTACATGTATTGATGTGTGTATACTCTTTCCAATGGGCTATTTGAAATGAGAGCCCATGTCTTAATTTTCTTAGACATTCAGAGACTTTTACTGTGACTAGTACATAAACAATAAATTTGTTGTGTAGAATAACTGGATTCTTCTTGGTCCATCAGACTGAATTTTGGTAAGCTTCCATTAGCTGACAAATGATTGATCTTGGATAATGTCCTTATGTCATCACCCTGAATGTAAGGGTTTCCTGTAGGTCAGTATATCTGATCAAAAGAGAATCTTATCTTTTCCCTATTTTCATACATTTTCTATAAAATGTAGATGGCATTTCTAAGAATAACAGAATACATCATTCTATTAATAAAATATATCAACAAGTGAGCTTTAATTTACATACATGAAAGATAACAGATAATTTAAATATGAAGATTTATGTAAGTCCAAAAAAGGAGGTATAATTTGATATTTTGCTCACTAATACATAACAATTGACAATCACAAATTAAGTCTGGCATTCTTTCCAATTCTTGTGAATTTAAGTCACTCTGCAAATTTCTTTTTTGAGAAGAATGTTACCTTAAGGCCTGGCCTTGTCAGCTCCCATCAGACGTAGAAACCCAATGTTTGATTTCGTTACACGATATATCTGATAATTCTGAGATTGTCTCTCCCTTGTTTAGCTGTCCCCCTCTCTCTTTTTCATGAGGAAAAACATATACTTATTCTCTGAAGTTTAATTTTCTTATTTGGAAAAATTAGGTAAAACAATTTCACAAAAAAATCATTACAGTGGTGTGTAAGGCTTTTTTTTTTTTTTTTAAATAAAAGTCAAGCCTGATTCTCCAAGATTGACAGATGTGAGAAAATCTTTAGGGAAAAAAAAATATGGGCCTGCAGAATTGTTACTCATGACCCATTTTTTTTTTTTTTTATTCTTTCAGGGATTCTGAGAAATGTTGTCAGAAGTGAAGTAAAGGTTTTAATCTCTGCACATCAAAGTGCAACAGGGAGAGCAAAATCAAAAATATGTAAGACAATATTCTCAGTCAAATTAAGTGACAAGTTATACTTCAAAACTCTGAAAAAATGAGCAGGTGGGGCCTGAAAATTGAAGCTGTATGACCTGTGTGGTATCAGTGTCTGACAGGAGGAAGCAGAGGGTGAAAATGAGATACTGACAGCTCTAAGAATACCAAAAGGGAGAATCAAAGCTGAAACTTGGAGGAATATGTATGCCTTTGGAATACTAGGCCAAAATATTAGATGACTTATAAAGGGAAATCTAGGCAAAAATACTAAACAATTTATAAATGTAAGACAATTATAGAGTCATTAGACTTTTTGATAGGAAAATA